TGGGAGTTGAATTCTGTTTATCATCCCTCACGTCACCTGCTGGTCATGCTGACTCACATATATGCAGCTGTTCTGCCCTCCCTGGGCTGGTAGATAGCCCCCGCCTAATGAATGCAATGAAGTGCCTTTTGCTCTGCTTTCACCTTCTGTGAATCTGGTCACAGATGCATTATCCCTTGGTGGCTTAATGCACCTGGGAAGCTTTTGTACTCAAGGTCGCTAATCAGATCAGGATCTCTCCCTCTACATCAATTTCAGGGCTCCTGGCTATTTATCTGGCCAGTAAAGTGTTTCTTTTCCACATCGCGGGTTGCTCTGTACAAGTACTCACAGAGAACACTGCTGCAATGTTTTATCTCATCAAACAGGGACGTGCTAGGTCAGACCCCCTTTGCCAAAAGGCTATAGACCTCGGTGCAGAAATTCCAGAGAACAGAATCTCACTCAAAGCATCTCCAGGAGTCTCAGAACTCCCTAGCAGACTCTCTCAGCAGGTGATTTAGAGGAGATAACAAATGGTCCCTCAGACCCAATGTAGAAAAGTCTATTTTTCAGATTTGGGGATGGGGGTACCAAAGTTGGATCTGTTCACCACTTGATAGAACAGAAAGTATAATCAATTCTGGTTAAGGGGAGGTCTCAAACCAGGGCCTATGAGAGATGTCTTCCTACAGTCTTGGAAGGGGAAACATTTCTGCTCTTTCCCCCCACATCCTGATAGTGCCCAGAATGCTAACTAAACTCAGGCAAGATCATGCTATTCTAATCTTGGTGGCACAACAGCACTGGTTTTCAGATATGTTGAACCTCTCCATTCGGGATCCAATTCTTCTCCTTCAGGACCTGGATATAATTTCACAGGAATATGATCAGATTCTGCATTCCAGCTGTCCCAGACTGCACCTGACTGCCTGGATGTTCAATGGTTAGCTCGTCAGGAATCTGCATACTCTGTGGTGGTTCAGAACGTTCTTTTGAATAGCAGGAAGTTCTCTACCAGGTACACATACCTTTTGAAGTGGAAGAAGTTTGCTGTGGGCTGAGGTTCTCCTTCATGGGCTCATATTCAGTTTATTCTGGATCATCTGCTTTACCTGAAAGAGAATGGCCTTTCCATCAGTTCAAAAAGGATTCACCTGGCTCCTATCTTGGCGTTCCATTCTACTGTAGAAGGCAGGTCCATGTTTTCCAACCCTGTGAGAACAAGGTTTTTAAAAGATTTGGACAGATGACTTTTCTCACCTATTAAAGATCCATCGCCTTCCTGAGACGTAAACGTAGTGCTCTCAGGATTGATGAGATCCCCTTTTGAGCCTAGGGCCTCTTACTTGTTGTCTGATCTCTCAACGAAGGTGGCTTTTTTAATAGCTACTACCTTGGTTAGGAAGGTTGCAGAACACCAGACTTTGATGGATGACCTTCCTTATGCATTTTTTTAACAAAGACTGGTTGCCTAATGCTTTGCAGCCCAAATTCCTCCTGGTTTTGGATTTTCATATGAATCACACTATTTAGGGTACGTCTACATTGCAGTAAAAGACTTGCAGTGCGGAGCTTGGGCAGCAGGGCTAAAATATGCAGTGGAGACTTTCAGGCTTGGGCTGGAGTCCACGTCTGTGACCCTCTTCACTCACGGAGTTTCAGAGCCCAGGCTCCAGCCTGAGCCCAAACATTTACGCTGCAATTTTTAGCCTCACAGTCCGACCCCAGCAAGCTTGAGTCAGTATACCCAGGCTCTGAGACTCACTGCCATGGGTTTTTTATTACAGGATAGACATACCCTTACTTGCCACCTTCTTTCTGAAACCCCACTTTCACAAAGATGAGGAAAGACTACATACTTTGTCAGGGGTTCTCAAACTTGGGGTTGGGACCCCTCAGGGGGTCGCGAGGTTATTACATGGGGGGGTCGCGAACTGTCAGCCTCCACCCTAAACCCCGCTTTGCCTCCAGCATTTATAATGGTGGTGTTAAATATACAAAAAAGTGGTTTTAATTGATAAGGGAAGGTCACACTCAGAGGCTTGCTATGTGAAAGGGGTCACCAGTACAAAAGTTTGAGAACCACTGCTTTATGTGTTCATAGAGCATTAGCTTTTTTATTTGGAAAGAACTAAGGAGTTTCAATTTTCTCCTCAAAAAGAAAAGGAGGACTTTGCGGCACCTTAGAGACTAACAAATTTATTTGAGCATAAACTTTCATGAGCTACAGCTCACTTCATCGGATGCATTCAGTCAATTTTCTCCTCAGTTATTCATTTCCTTTGCAGGAAGGATGAAATGGATGCCTGTTACCTTTCAGAGGATTTCTTTCTGGATTTCCTCCTGCATTCATCTCTGTAATAATATTGGTAATGTTCCTCTACCAGAAAGAGTGTTAGCAAACCCTACAAGGGTTCAAGCAGCATCAGTGACTTTCCTGGATCATTTTGCCATCAGTGAAATTTGTAGTGGTATCACTTGGTCTTTGGTTCATACCTCTACCACTCATTAAGCTGTCCCCAGGGACAGTGCTAAATTTGGGAGAGTAGTACTAAAGTTCTTGTTTAGGTAGATTCTGATACCTTCCTCCTTCTGAAACTGCGTGGGAATCTCCTAAAGTAGAATAGGCACATGCAAGCACTTGAAGAAAAAACACTTGTGTACCTTCTTCTGTAACTGTTGTTCTTTGACATGTATTGCAAATGTCCATTCCGCAACCCACCCACCTTCCGCTCCACACCAGAGTCATCGTGAGACTGGTATTTGAGAGGGAGATCCGGGCAGCTCCTCCCCTTTATATTCTCAGCTAGCAGCATGAGCATACGGCGGGCACTTGGGCTGCCCTGATGGGTATCACTTTGGGAAAAAGTTCTCCAGCTTTGACACACTGGCATGCAGACACCTAAAGTAGAATATCTTGAAGAACAAACAGTTATAGAACATGTATGTAACTGTGTTTTTTCTGTTCCATTGATATCAGGGGTGGAGTTATAAGAAAGGGTAATCTCTTAAAGTGTTTTCGGGGGCATGGGGGTTTGGTATAGAAACTTCCAAACCCTTTGGAAACATGTTTATGGGTTTCTTATTTTTTTCCAGATAAAAGCAAGTAACTGCTACAGAATGTTTAACTTTTGTAGTTTCTCATTTTGCTAGCAGACATTCCAAAGGGACCATCAGGAAATGTGTTGTGTGCAGTGTTGTTGTAGCCATGTTGGTCCCAGGATAGTAGAGTGCCAAGATGGGTGAAGTAATATCTTTTATTGGACCAATTTCTGTCTCTCTCACCAACAGAAGTTAGTCCAGTAAAAGATATTACCTCACCCATCTTGGCAGTCAAGAAATTTGTCACTCTTGCAAGATCATGAACTTTTCAGCTGGGGTTATGAAATGATGTAAGTTGTTCTGGAGTCAAACATCACCTGACAAATACCATAGACTTTCACATCTTACTTTATATTTACATTACATGGAAGATTAAATTTCAGGAAAAACTCCCAGTTCCACACATGGGAAGACAATGCATTTCAATGGTTGAATGAAATAATGAACCATAAAGTTGCATGGTTGATGTTTGTTAGGCACTGGAAAACCTCTTGGGGAAGGGAGAGCATATAGAGAAAGGATGCGCTCAGCTTTATCCAAAACAGAATGTTTACTGTCAATGGAAAACAAAGTTTGGGGCAAAGGGTTGAAAGCAGAAGAGCACTGGAAAATAAGATGTAGGTGTATAGAAAACAGAATAGAGAGAGAGCTGTTCTTGTGTACTTTTTCATTAATAAATTGAAGAGGAAGTATTCAGTGCAACTCACTGATGCTGGCTGTTATTGAGACACATACGAATGAGAACTAGACATTAGCCAAAGGCCCTGATCCTGCAGCTTGCAAAATTGGAACCCAAAATAGCATTTGAATTTAGTCAGCTGAGGTTAGGAAGAATATCCCCCCTATAAAATGGAATTGCAAAAACCAGTGCAATCTGGGAGTTTTATATCTTTCTCCAATATTGTCTACACCTCTAAGACAGGATTCTATATTGGATGGGCAAGTTTTCTGTTCTTTCTACTAATTAACTATATTTGAAAACAAAATAAATTTTTAAAATACACCACAATTGAGCATATGATATTCTGAGCACTTCTGTACTAGGTAAAAGCTGCAATAACACTCATATGTAGCCACAGTGTTACAAGTTTTGAGACCCAGCCCAACAGCAATCACTTCTCCTGGTGTTTGCATTACTGTTCTTCCACTGAGTCATCTAGAGTTCTCAATAACTTCTGTAATCATAAGCTTTCCTGGCCTCACCAAGCTCTGATTGGCTCAGTTCTCAGGCTGTGGATGAGTAAGATGCAGCTCTGCTTGGCCAGAATGGTGGTTTTCTTTGACTGAAAGAAAACTACTTAGCATGCTTAGTAATTGCCACTCCCTATTTTTTCATGTGTACCTAGAAATGGCCACAAATTCCCCAGTTCTGCTCTCTGCATACATAACAGAAACAAATAATTCACATAAATTCATTCCTCTCCCTTCCCCACTGCTGCTACTCCTTTCTTAGGGCTTAAACTACTGCAATATAAAGCCCCAGTGGGTATTTCTACACTGCAATTAAATACCCATGGCTTGCCTGTGTCAGCTGACTCAGGTTCACAGGGGTTGGGCTACAAGGCTCTTTAATTGCACTGTAGACATTCAGGCTTGGGCTGGAGCTCAGGGTCTAGGACCCTCCCCGCTCATGGGGTCCTGGAACCCAGGTTCCAACCCTAGCATGAATGTCTACACTGTAGTTAAACAGCCCTGTAGCCCAACCCCTGTGAGCCTGAGTCAGCTGACACAGGCAAGCCATGGGTGTTTAATTGCAGTGTAGATATACTCAGAGGGACTGCTCTTTTTTAAAGTTAAGCACGTGTAAGGATTTACAGGATCAGGGCCTAAGAAATGGCATTTGTATTGGCGTCTTTTTTGTGTTCAGTGTGACTAGTGTTGCCAACTTTGTAGTAATTAAAAACCGGTTGATCCAGCAGGAGTGCCAGAACCTCCCCTGCCATGCCTCTTCCCCACGAAGGTCCAACCCCTCAGGTTGGCAGGGATTCACCTACAGAGTCAGGACTGGAAGCTGCAACTGCCCAACACAGGTAGGAGGCAACCCCAGCTGAGTTGGGGCTGGTGTGGGTGATGACCTGGCACCTCCCCACCTCCCATGCCTTCAGTAACCGGACTGGTTAGTAGTACTGGCTGGACAGTGTCGGGTCCCCTTTTCGACCGGACTTTCTGGTCAAAAACTGGACATCTGGCCACTCTTAAGTGTGACTCAGACATCAATATGTGAGCTTGTGCTTTCCTTTTAAGAGTCTTAAATATGTACTGAATTTCTTTGTTTTGCGCTGGTGATGACCAAAGAACTGAGGGTGGAAAAATGCATCCTTAACTAATGAATTTGTCACTAAAGGGCATGGAACGACAAGCCAAACCAGTTTGATAACAGCCATCAGGATAACTTGACAGGACTGTGGTTCATCTGAGTTGAATTTTGATAATCAGATACATTCCATTCTTATGACATACGCATTGGAAGAAGTTATGCTTCCAAACATAACAAAATATGTTCCTTTAACATCTGGAGTCCAGTGAATCATTGCCTCAATTAAAATAATTCATTGCCTATTTTGTACATTGAACACTTTATTTTTCATGAATTTACTACTGCATATTGTAAACAAATGTATCTAATGTGTGTTAAATATAATTTTTAAAATTAAAGATCAATTTAAAAATTACAAATTATTTAAATAATCACTGAGAGAGAGGCTGTCATATAATACAGGGGGAAACAGCAGGTTGAGGCAGTACAAGTGCAAGAATTTTTGCATTCCTTCTATTGTCAGGTTGTCGGGGGCCTGAACATTTCTCTCAAGCTTGACCGCTTTACTCCATCACCCCTACTTCAACCTGTCCTGTCTCTTCCACAGTCCTGTCTCCTTGTCCAGTTCCATTCTCCTTCTCTACCTAGTCCTAGTCTCCACTCCTAAAGTTTCTCATCCTAGTCTCTTTCGAGCTAGTTGTAATCTCGCCCTCCTTGTATGATCCTGTCTCTTTCCTCCTCCTGACTTCCAGTCCCAGTTTCCCTCGCTGGGTTCTTCATCCAATCTCAGTCTCCACCCTTTGCCTGGATCCTTGTCCCAAGCTGTTTGCCCACCCATCGTCACCCCATCTCCCAGTCTTCTTTCCCAGACAGTACCAGCCTCCTCTCAACCCTGGCTCCGAGGCTCCTTGCCCAACCAGCCCCTGTCATAAATATAAAGGGAAGGGTAAACCCCTTTAAAATCCCTCCTGGCCAGAGGAAAAATCCTCTCTTCTGTAAAGGGTTAAGAAGCTAAAGGTAACCTCACTGGCACCTGACCAAAATGACCAATGAGGAGACAAGATACTTTCAAAAGCTGGGAGGAGGGAGAGAAACAAAGAGTCTCTGTCTGTTGGTACACTGCTTTTGCCGGGGATAGACCAGGAATGGAGTCTTAGAACTTTTAGTAAGTAATCTAGCTAGGTATATGTTAGATTATGATTTCTTTAAATGGCTGAGAAAAGAATTGTGCTGAATAGAATGACTATTTCTGTCTGTGTCTTTTTTGTAACTTAAGGTTTTGCCCTAGAGGGATTCTCTGTTTTGAATCTAATTACCCTGTAAGGTATCTACCATCCTGATTTTACAGAGGTGATTCCTTTACCTCTATTTACTTCTATTTCTATTAAAAGCCTTCTTGTAAGAAAACTGAATGCTTTTTCATTGTTCTCAGATCCAAGGGTTTGGGTCTGTGGTCACCTACGCAAATTGGTGAGGATTTTTACCAAACCTTTCCCAGGAAGTAGGGTGCAAGGGTTGGGAGGATTTGGGGGGGAAAGATGTGTCCAAACTACGTTTCCCAGTAAACCCAGTTAGAGTTTGGTGGTGGCAGTGGATATTCCAAGGACAAAGGATAAAATTAATTTGTACCTTGGGGAAGTTTTAACCTAAGCTGGTGAAAGTAAGCTTAGGAGGTTTTCATGCAGGTCCCCACATCTGTACCCTAGAGTTCAGAGTGGGGGAGGAACCTTGACAGCCCCTGTCCCACCAGACTCCCTATTCCAATATACTCCTTTCCTTACTCTTTGGTCTGGTGTTTGTCTCTTCTGCATTCAAATCTAATGGCATCCAGGCAACACAGAGGAGGAAGCCATCAGCAGGGGGTAACTGAGAGCACAGGAGAGACAGGCTTCCTTCTCACTTCTGGAGCCCTGCCCCACCCTGGCCTGGAACAGCTAGGAGCAACCATTATAGGTCAAGTTCTGTTGAGCCACTGTAGCCCTGGAATGGAACATAGAATCATAGAATATCAGAGTTGGAAGGGACCTCTGGAGGTCATCTAGTCCAACCCCCTGCCCAGAGCAGGACCAATTCCCAACTAAATCATCCCAGCCAGGGCTTTGTCAAGCCTGACCTTAAAAAATTCTAAGGAAGGGGATTCCACCACCTCCCTAGGTAATGCATTCCAGTGTTTCACCACCCTCCTAGTGAAAAAGTTTTTCCTAATATCCAACCTAAATCTCCCCCACTGCAATTTGAGACCATTACTCCTTGTCCTGTCATCTGCTATCACTGAGAATAGTCTAGATCCATATTCTTTGGATCCACATTTCAGATAGTTAAAAGCAGCTATCAGATCCCCCCTCATTCTTCTCTTCTGCAGACTAAACAATCCCAGTTCCCTCAGACTCTCCTCATAACTCATGTGTTCCAGACCCCTAATCATTTTTGTTGCCCTTCGCTGGACTCTCTCCAATTCTTCCACATCCTTCTTGTAGTGTGTGGCCCAAAACTGGACACAGTACTCCAGACGAGGCCTCACCAATGTCGACTAGAGGGGAACGATCACGTCCCTAGATCTGCTGGCAATGCCCCTACTTATACACCCCAAAATGCCATTGGCCTTCTTGGCAACAAGGGCACACTGTTGACTCATATCCAGCTTCTCATCCACTGTCACCCCTAGGTCCTTCTCTGCAGAACTGCTGCCTAACCATTGGGTCTCTAGACTGTAGCGGTGCATTGGATTCTTCCGTCCTAAGTGTAGGAGTCTGCACTTGTGCTTGTTGAACCTCATCAGATTTCTTTTGGCCCAATCCTCCAATTTGTCTAGGTCCCTCTTTATCCTATCCCTACCCTCCAGCTTATCTACCACTCGTCCCAGTTTAGTGTCATCCACAAACTTGCTGAGGGTGCAATCCACACCATCCTCCAGATCATTAATGAAGATATCGAACAAAACCGGCCCGAGGAATGACCCTTGGGGCACTCCGCTAGATACTGGCTGCCAACTAGACATGGAGCCATTGATCGCTAACTGTTGAGCCCGACAATCTAGCCAACTTTCTACCCACCTTGTAGTGCATCCATCCAGCCCATACTTCTTTAACTTGCTGATAAGAATACTGTGGGAGACCGAGTCAAAAGCTTTGCTAAAGTCAGGGAATAACACGTCCACTGCTTTCCCTTCATCCACAGAACTAGTTATCTCGTCATAGAAGGCAATTAGATTAGTCAGGCATGACTTGCCCTTGGTGAATCCGTGCTGACTGTTCCTGATGAATTTTCTCTCCTCTAAGTCCTTCAGAATTGATTCCTTGAGGACCTGCTCCATGATTTTTCCGGGGACTGAGGTGAGGCTGACTGGCCTGTAGTTCCCAGGATCCTCCTCCTTCCCTTTTTTAAAGAAGGGCACTACATTAGCCTTTTTCCAGTCTTCCGGGACTTCCCCCGATCGCCATGGGTTTTCAAAGATAATGGCCAATGGCTCTGCAATCAGAGCCGCCAACTCCTTTAGCACCCCCGGGTGCGACGCATCTGGCTCCATGGACTTGTGCATGTCCAGTTTTTCTAAATAGTCCCTAACCACTTCTTTCTCCACAGAGGGCTGGCCACCTACTTCCCATGCTGTGTTGCCCAGCGCAGCAGTCTGAGAGCTGACCTTGTTCGTAAAGACAGAGGCAAAAAAAGCATTGAGTATATTAGCTTTTTCCACATCCTCTGTCACTAGGTTGCCTCCCTCATTCAGTAAGGGGCCCACACTTTCCTTGGCTTTCTTCTTGTTGCCAACATACCTGAAGAAACCCTTCTTGTTACTCTTGACATCTCGTGCTAGCTGCAACTCCGGGTGTGATTTAGCCTTCCTGATTTCACTCCTACATGCCCGAACAATACTTTTATACTCTTCCCTGGTCATTTGTCCAATCTTCCACTTCTTGTAAGCCTCTTTTTTGTGTTTAAGATCAGCAAGGATTTCACTATTAAGCCAAGCTGGTCGCCTGCCGTATTTACTATTCTTTCGACATATCGGGATTGTTTGTCCCTATAACCACAATAAGGATTCTTTAAAATACAGCCAGCTCTCCTGGACTCCTTTCCCCCTCATGTTATTCTCCCAGGGGATCTTGTCCATCAGCTCTCTGAGGGAGTCAAAGTCTGCTTTTCTGAAGTCCAGGGTCTGTATTCTGCTGCTTTCCTTTCTTCCTTGTGTCAGGATCCTGAACTCGACCATCTCATGGTCACTGCCTCCCAGGTTCCCATCCACTTTTTCTTCCCCTACTAATTCTTCCCAGTTTGTGAGCAGCAGGTCAAGAAGAGCTCCGCTCCTACTTGGTTCCTCCAGCATTTCCACCAGGAAATTGTCCCCTACATTTTCCAAAAACTTCCTGGATTGTCTGTGCACCGCTGTATTACTCTCCCAGCAGATAGCAGGATGATTGAAGTTGCCCATGAGAACCAGGGCGTGCGATCTAGTAGCTTCTGCAAGTTGCCGGAAGAAAGCCTCGTCCACCTCATCCCCCTGGTCTGGTGGTCTATAGCAGACTCTCACCACGACATCACCCTTGTTGCTCACGCTTCTAAACTTAACCCAGAGACTCTCAGGTTACTCTGTGAGGACGGTGCATTTGTAGTCTGGGTGGCACTAGGAGCTGTGAGGGGATGGAACTTGCTTACTTGCTCTGTGGGAATGTCTCATACACAGTCTGGTCTGTGCTAGGAGCTGTAAGAGGCTAAAGTATGTTCAGTGAGGGTGGACTCTTCAGAGATATTAGCTGTTTAGCTATAGCAAGTCTC